AGTATTATAATATCTATGTAGGGCTATTAATCGGTCCCAATAAGTTCTAATCGGTCCTGAGATAATTTAATAATTACTAGTCCTAGAGAAGTATAATTGTTTATCGCCAATAAGTAGCCTATCTTGAAAACTTCCTGGAAGAAACTTAATTAATAACTTTTTTAAAAAAATCATCTTAAAAACTGGCAATTTGCTTGAGACCGATCTAATCAAATCAGTCCTAGAACCGATTTGATTAGCATCGGTCCCTAGCAAATTGCCAGTTTTTAAAATGATTTTTTTAAAAAAGTTATTAATTAAGTTTCTTTCCAGAAAGTTTTTAAGGTAGGTTACTTATTGGTAATAAGCGATTATACTTCTCTGAGACTAGTAATTTATTAAATTATCTCAGGACCAATTAGGACTTATTGGGACCGAATAATAGCTCTATATCTATGAATCACACATGCTTTCCTACAAGCAACTTGTGCTATCAAATTTATGTGAGAGCATATATACTCTAGTAGCTACGTCTACGCTCCCAGGGGATTCACATGAATTGAGTTGCTATTAATACATAAGAATGCCTAATACTAGAAAGGTACAATTACTATTGCTATAGTGATATATTTATGAAAGGCATATGATAACTTATTCATATACGTACGTACATAAATTACTTTAGGGCATCCTTCTGAAGTTCGAATATGCATTGCCGTAGCATCTAATTTCTTTGAACTTTTATTTCAAATTTAGGTGAAGGTTTTGATCATATAATAAATAGGTCTTTGTGTCATTTGATTTTAGTGAAAATTTCAAAATGCTGTGGCAATAACACACCCAGAGTAATCTATTTACATGTGTGTTATCTACTAAAGTTGGCAAGAAGGAGATTTTAGGATTTTCAGACAGCTATCCAAAAATTGTAGCTTAATATTAATCACATCCAAGAATTAAAAAACAAACAACCGAATTTTAGTTATACTTTATTTATTTTTGAATTTCTGAATATATTTTAGAAATTTGAAGCATTCTAAAGCTTAAAAATTTTTGAAACATTCAAAACCAACTTTATTATCCATATAAAAACTAAATTTTTTTGTATTTACTTCTATTCTTGGCTTTTATTATACTTTTATACTATTAAAATCAAGATTAGTATTCTAAAAAATTTGGTTCAAGCATTATGATTTGCTGATGCTCAATTGCTAGATAGATCAAACTACTGAACTAAAGATATTAAATTTGGTTTATCTACAATAGGTTAGTTTGCGTCTTAGAGCATTATGTATTATATGTATGCTGCTCTATTTTATCATATAATTTGAATATATTTCTAACTTCTAAAATTAAGTAAATTTAGATTAATATTACAGACTAAATATAAAATTTCTGAAATTTTGCATAGTAAAATCTCATAATTATAAAAAATTATGGCTTTGAAATAATATTATAGAATATTTATTTATTAACATTAAGGGTTTAATTGAACAATAAAATATTTTGTGGCTATAATATAAATGAAATTTAAAAAATATTTGCAGAAAAAATTCTGTGAGACAATGTAGAAAAAAGTGTGTTGGGTAAAGATTTAAGAAAAAAAAAGCCTTATCCTTTAATACTTGCTTAGTTTTTAAAAGTCTTGGCTGTAAATAGAGAAAAATTAATAAATAAAAACCTCTTGTGCCTCTTAGAATAGAAAAGTTATAAAAGCACTGTATTTTTGCTATTGTAAAAATAAAAATCTTCAGATTGAATAATAAATAAAATTATATATATACTATTTTTGCTAAATTATCACATTATGCTTCTGCAAGTTGCTTATTATTAATTGTCTTTTTATTTATATTTTAAATTTGAGTTAAAATTTCACTTTTAACTAAAGATTTAAAAATGAATAGTAATATAAATTTTGCAAGTTAATCTTATAATTTAAAATTATTATTTATATATTTGTTATATTTTAGAACTAGAAGTTGAAGTTGAATCTAGAGCTGAAAATTTATTTAAACCTTGTTTGTTTTCTACACTTGTTGATACTTATAAGCATAAAAAATTAAATAAATATAAAACTAAAGAGAAAAATCGAATTTGAAATGTATTTACAAATACTATTAGAACTCGAATTAAATTATTTGAACCCCATTTTGATAAATTAAATATCTTACAAAATGAGTTAGAAAAATATACGATTTGTGAAAAACACTATAATCAAATTGTTGCAAAAGATAATTATCTAAATTACTTAAAAGGTAAATCATTATCTTATCCAAGAAAGCGAAGTTGCAATTTTAATACTTTGAATAATTTACTAATAGAACCTTCAACAGCTATTAATATTGGAATTCAAGTTGAAATAAATAGTAATAATGATCTTTTAATGCAAATTGAAGCTTTAAAAAATTCTCTTAACACTCTTGTAGCTGAGCATTCTAAACAAGTACAAATTATTAAAATTAAAAATAATAAAATTTTTGAATTAGAAACTAAATGCAAATATTTAAAAAATCAAATTGCTAATCTAAATATAAGAGTAAAAAATTTAGATTTATATAGAAATCAAATAGAAGTATTAGTAGATGAAAAAAATAAATTAGAAAGCGAAAATAAGCATCTAAAAGAACAATAGAATGAAAGATATAATACTTAACAAAAATGGATAACAGAAGTTGCTAAAATTGCTTCATTAGAATGAAAGTTTTTATATGATGATATTGTCTGCTTAATTAATGATTGTAATCGATTTTCTTTAGAAAATTTATTAGTATTTAATCCTCTAAATTGGCTTAAATATTACAATCCTGTAATATAGTCTGGGAATATACCATAAATGGATAACGATAATCGCACCTTTTATAGAAATAGATTATTGATCAATTGATTCTGGAAATTTCTAAAGCATGATCCAAGAATGCCAATCAAATCAAAGAACGGCCGTTAAGTAAAAAAAAGTTTATTTTTTATTTTTTATTTATTAATTTTAAAAATTAAGAATTTAACTACTATAATACTATATTAGAAATCTAACTATATACTACAGTACTATAATACAATATTAAGAATCTAGCACTATAAAATTACTAGCATCAAGCGTTGTAAATCTACCAAACTCATGCTACATTACGAATCTAATGCTATGTCCTAAATCTACCTAATTCTTATGCTATGTTCGTCTCAAATCTACTAACTCTCATGCTATGTTC